CTCCCGTAAAATTTGCGGGAGTTCCAGACCTTTCCTCGTCCCGCTGGTTAGGGGACCGACTATGTCCATTCCCCATTTGATGAAGGGCCATGGGGAAGTGACCGAGTGAAGTGGTTCTCCTGGTTGGTGTATCATGGGGGCATACTTTTGGCATTGTTCGCATCGGCGAACATATTCCGCTGCGTCTTTCTTCATAGTGGGCCAATAATAGCCGGCTCGTATTATGCAGCGCACGAGGGCGCAGTTGCCCGTATGGGCACCGCAATGACCTTCATGTACCTCTTCGAGCACTGGCCGCGTTTGTTGCGGCCCTAGACGCTTGGCCAGGGGTCCGCCAAACGTCCTTTTGTAGAGCTCGTGGTTTATCAGGCAATACCGGGCGGCCTGTTCGCGGAGCTTCTTGGCTTCTTTTTTGTCGAGTGGGAGTGTTCCATCCTGCAGATAGGATACAAATTGGTTGCGCCAGTCCCAAGTCAAATTTAAAGAGAGTACCTCAGTGTGATCAATGGCTGAATGGAGGAGGGTGACCACGCTTTCTTTGTTGAAGTTTTTAGTGGCTGCGGCCAATTTTGCTAGGCCGTCTGCTTCAACGTTCTGTGCTCTCGGAACTTGTTCGAAGCGGCACTCGTCGAACTCGGTCATTAACCTGTGGATCTCTGACGGGTAGTGGGAATGAATCCTTTGGGCATGCTTTGTTCAGATCAGTGAAATCCACACACATTCTCCACTTCCCGTTTTTCTTTTTGACCATGACGACATTGGCGACCTACTGGGGGTACTTTGATTCTCTGATGGAGCCGTTGGCCAGTAACTTGTCTACTTCCTCACTGACCGCTTCATTGATAGCGGCGTTGAATTTTCTCCTCATCTGTCGCATGGGCGGATGTAGTGGATCGACATTCAGCTTGTGGGTGGCGATGTCTCGCAGGATTCCCGGCATATCTGAATGGGAAAAGGCGAACAAATCTGCATTGTTAGTTAAGAATTCACGATACTTACTTGGGTTGGCGAGACCGTGCCCGATATAGGCTTTCTTCGTAGATTGGTTTCGTCCAATTGGACTGGGTTGAGATCTTCGACCGTTGCTTTACAGGCCTCTACGACGTCAGGGTCTTTGATGGCGTCCGTTGTCGGGTTGACCTTAGTCCCCGACACGGCTAATTGCTATGCCTCCGCGCTTGGCCCCTTTAGCTGTTGGGTGTGGGCGCAGCCTTGGGCTATTTTGTAGCATTCTTGTGCGGTGCGTGGCTCGCCTCGAATACTGAATACTCCCCATGGGGTAGGGAATTTGATCACTTGGTAGTGGCTTGAAGGGACCGCTCGCATGGCGTGTATCCATGGGCGTCCTATGATGACGTTGTACGCCGTTTCTTGGTTCATCACGTGGAAAGTTGTTTCCAGCGTGACTCCTCCCGCTAAGATGGGCAGTGCTATTTCTCCGGACGTCCGTTCCACTGCATTGTTAAAACCGGTTAGTGTTATGCAGCGGGGTATTACCTTATCCTCGAGCCCCATTTGTATGAGGACCCTTGGGTGGATAATACAGGCGCCACTTCCGTCATCGATCATGACTCTTTTAACATCCGTATCAGCGATACGTAAAGTGATAACTAAAGCATCATAATGAGGGAAAGACAAACCGTCGGCATCAGACTTATCGAAGGTGATACAATCTTTGAAGTCCTCATACCGTTCATGGGCGATGGTCCGCTTTAGTCCGTGTGTGGTGGCGAGTTTGACGTGATTGATCGCTGACTCGTCGCCGCCTCCGACGATCATGTTTATCGTGCGCGCTGGGGAAGGTGGCTTCGGCGGCCCGTGGGG